GTTATTAATTTGAAAATATAATTGAAATATTTTTATGATAATTAAATTCATGTCATTCAAGTTGATTCAATTAAAATCTATGGGCTGTGTAAGTTCAAAAATTAACATTTTGTTGGCGTGTATACTCAATATGAAACTTGAAACGCGTTTTTCTCAGAAAAAAAATTTTCCAAATCGGTGACCAAAATATTTCAAAAATCACTGTATCGATTTACTTCAAATTTTACAGGGTTATTGTAGGGATAGAAAACTAGTCCGCGAACAAAGGATTTTTTGTTTCAATGGCTGGTGGCTAGTTTTTTTTTTTAATTGACGAAAATCAAGCGTTTTCTCTACTGATACTTTGACTTTGAACGGCTGCCATTTTGTTGAAAATCAATTTTTCAAACGTGCTTCGTTCAAAGACTGGGTAATTTAATATAAAAGCTAAATTTTTTCGAAATATTGATTTTCGATAATCCGGATACGAGCAGCAGTGGCAACCGTGAATCGCTTTCAATGAAAGAACTTTCAGAAAAGTGGCCGTATCTTTAGCAATTATTAATATCTTTTAATGAAAAAATTATGATAGTTGCTTGAAAATATAGTCTTTCAGATACGGCAAGATATATCGTAAAAAGTTTACGTCAAAACAAATTCGCAAAGATCACGTTTTTCCCACTTTTTAACTGAACATACCCCCTTAAAAGAAATAATTTATGGAAATAAATTGTAAAGAATATATAGTAAAAATAAAAAAATACATAAAAGGAAGACTTAATATAAAAACTGAGTAAGATAAAAAAATATTTGTCGTGCAACAACGAAATAGTAATCCATGCGTTTACCCATTCAACTCCGGTAGCTTGCTGCTACCAGGTGTTTCTGTATTTTAAGCGAACATCTCTCAGCGCTCGAAACTTTTGGTTAATTCCTTGAAGACAAATAGCCACGCGCCCAAATCCACTTAAGATTCTTTCATCACTGATCTAACGGAGTGAATTCATGTTCAACCAATTCGATCGAGATTTCGAAGTTCTTGCCGTATCTTTGTTAGTTACATTAAAAGACATTAACATAAAATAAAGCTATAAGTTATATCGCATTTGTAAAGAATTATACTATTTAATATTTGATTTTACGATAGTATTATAATACTCTGTGAATTAGGAGTATCTTCTTAAAGAACTTTCGAATTTTTATCTAAAACTAAAATTCAGTTGTTTGTACAAATGGAAACAAAAGAATATAAACTAAAATAGATTAGTTCGTAAAGAAGATTCTCCCTATTCAAGTATTTACACTTTAAATTGTACTTAATTGTACGTATTTAAATATATACACTTTATTACAATTATGTATTTTTTTTAAATATACATATAACAAAACATATATGAAGAATATATATATTGTATAAAGTATATATGTTAAATATACTTTCATATTAGAATATAAGTACATATTACATAAATATCATTGCATTTTTGTAATGAAATTTATACGAAATACAATAATAATATTATAATGACAATACTGCATTAACTTGCTTATGAATACACATATCTTACTACACTTTAGCACAAAATGTTACTATTACAGTTTAATAGACTCCATAAAATACACTATAAATTTTAAATAAGAATTAATCATTACATGGTAAATATATTAGAAATTTTTGTAGTTTCACTACATAACACTGATTTATATAACATGTTCGCTGCCACCCGAAAATTGAAAAGGGGCATACCGTATGCCACCGATTCGTAGTCTCACAAGGAAAGCTTTTTCGACGGGGTAATAGGTCTACATCTACAATAAGCGTACCCGTAATTGTAGCCGTAGATATTTCACCAGTTATGAGAAAAATACGTGTAAAGTTTGGAAAAACCGTATTCAGGCATATTTCGGTAGTGGAATAATGCATTCAACTGCGGCCGTGACGTAGCGGCAAACGTTAGAAAACTAAATTTTTTGTCCCCGGTTGAAATCTCGTTGCGGACATTTTTTTTCAGAAGCAAAATTACTTTAAATGTTACAATTATGGAAAATAAATTATTACCGTGGAATTATTATTTTATGCAATTTTTCTTCAACTATTTATGTACTTATTATTAATAAAACTATTATTAATAAGTTTCATGATGAAAGTAAAAATATGTATATACATATAATTTGAAGTACATGTGTAAGCAATATAGTTTACCTATACATACAATTGGGTGAAACTTATAATAAAAGCAATTGAAACAAATTTCTACAACAACACGAACATCTCAGAAAAGAAGGCTGCTTGCATTAACAGTATCGCATTATGAAAATATTTGGAACTTTATCCATACTTCTATCTTCAGGCGATGTAATGAATGAATTGTATTCTCTACTAAAAATTATTAATAAACGTAAGTACTGTTCTCATAACTGGCACGCTTACGGGTACGCTCATTGTAAATGTAGACCTATCATTTCGTCAAATTTCATTGAAATCGATGAAGATCACATGGTGGTATAAAGGATTCATGGTGGTATTTATTTAGTCGTCTATCGCACAGCGGTGGCATCAACTTTTGATGTGACCGACCGACAGACACTGTCGACGCTGGCTCACGAGGTACCGCATACGTTGCGCTCGTGGCAGCGAATGTGTTTAGGGGGTATTCGTTCAAATTGGATTTGAGAAATCAATATTTTTCCTTTTTTACTTTCTGTTAGTGTAAAGGTTCTAGAGCATTCTACTGAAAGTATTTTTGAGAAATTCCAAATACTAATAATGTTACACAGGTTTGAAGTCAAGCGTATAGGTAGCACATAAATTACATGAAAAACTTTAAATGCGTTGACATGATTTCTCAGAAAATAATGTGCGGATTAACTTCATATTATTAGGGGAAATTCGTGCAGTACCGATCAAAGCTTGTTCCCGCATCCTCTACCAGATGTTAGTACTTATTTGAATAAACAAATGAATATAACATATCTGTGTAACATATTTCGGGGTTATATTTTTTGTAGTTCAATCTAAATATTCCTCACATTTAATGTATTTATTAAATAATAATTCGTTTAATACAGTAATATAGTGAAAAACATGTAATGAATAGGTATTCACTATAAATAGAATTAACAGAAACAGAATAGTTCTAATGTTTAATTATTATACACATATTCAGTTACAAGGAAGTGCAGTGTGATTTACATATTTAGAAATTTATACAGTGAAAATAGAAAGGAATAAAATTTTGTAACAATATAAAAATAATTTCACTTTAATTTTAATATAAATTTATA